TCTCTCTCTCTCTCTCTCTCTCTCTCTCTCTCTCTCTCTCTCTCTCTCTCTCTCTCTCTGTCTGTCTCTCCTCCCCTTTCCTCCCGCCTGCTCTTCCGCACGTTTTAATGGCCGTTCATGCGGGTAATCGGCAGATCCGCGCGTTTCCAATGATGCCCGGCATTCATTATTTGCACAGGATGCGTCGCGCGAGTGTGTACACACGTGGCGCACAAGTTCCCCGCCTCAGTTCGCATTCCTCACCTCACCTCACCTCGCCTCGATTCGCCTCGCCTCGCTCGTTGTTCGCGATACGCGCGCGAGCGCATCGGTGCGCCGCTGTTTATTCAACTGCAGCTGCGTCAGCGAGCGCTCGCGCCCGGCATCTGACTCGGAGCTGCGTCGCGCGTTGCATCGCGCTGCACTGCATTGCTCGCGGCCAAACGCCGCTTCCATCAGCGGCAAGAGCATAGAGTCGACCTGTGCAAGCGTGAGGAGAGGAATACGTCGCCGGTCTCGCAAACGGCTCGGTACGTTCGGCACAACACAACACCCGCGAGACGTAGTTTGCACACAAAAGAAACTCATCCGAAAGCTCCGCTTGTTTTCGACGACAACGACGACGACGAGGTGACGGTGGCGGTGCCACAAGGGCAGGAAGAGAGGGTGGTGATTCATCTCGGATGCGTGTTCGCTCTTTCCTCTCGTGGAACCGCGTACGCGCACTCTCTCACTCGTGAGAGAGCCTTATAAGAGGCTGCCGCTTACGTCATCCGATCTTTGGGCCGTACCGGCCCTCCGAAGACCTATTACCTTATTTACGATTCGCACGGCCATTATCTCCCGGCAACAAAGTGAACCAGCCGGTTTTTCGATACTATCCGCGCGTACATTCGCCGCCGCGAAAGAAAGAAAGAACGAAAGAAAGGACGACGACGACGACGGAAGAAGGAGGAAGGGACGTGGCGCGGCGTGGTGGGAGGGAGAGGGACCGTTCGAACGACGAGACGAACACAAAAGACACACGTACGACACGGACGCAGCCTGCGCGCAGTTTTGCGGTCGCATGGCCGCATGGAGAGTCAGAGAGACTTTTGTCTTCGTTCGTTAATAACAGGCACGTCGCAACGTGCGAGAGAGACACGTGGGCCGCAGACGCTCCTCTCGCGATAACTCGATGTTATCAGGCTGTCATGTGGGAATATCGATATCCTGCAGAAGTAACGACATTCATTCGCGGCCATTTTGTGTTGCGATCTCTGTATCACAATTTAACATTGCGCAATCATCGGGAGCGTGAATAACGACTTTGGATGCGTAATATAATAATACACTAATACAGAAAGAGAGAGAGAAAAGAACGGATAATCTCACTGCAAAATTTAATTACTTTTAACGCCAATTATTATTTTTATGTTTCTCTGACAGAAAAGTAATAATTATGTGTATATAAATGTATCATATCACTAAAAAATGGGCTTTCTAACTATAATTACATTTCGCAATATAAGGGCGAGTTCACACCTTGGTAGAAAAGCCGGGAACAAAGGCAGGAGCCAATCGGAACTCGCGCTGGTGGTCACGTGATAGTCGACAGTTTCTGTTTTTCTAAGTTCGCCCTTAAGCTTGATCTACAATGTGTTCTTTGTTTCCTGTTTTTTCTCTTTATCTCTTTCTAACTCAAAACTTAAGTCAGAAAAAAAATAGAACAAGAAACAGGAAGCAAAGACCACATTGCTCTTCACAGATTAAACTTCACAGTCACAAATTATATTTTTTATTATAATTGCAAGTATCAAATATTTTTCTCCATGTGCAGCTTTGCTGACCGTCGCGAAGATGAAGCCCACGCGAGCGGGATTTCGCAACATTATTCTTCGGATGTGTACGTGCGGAACTCGAGTCTCGCGTCGCGTTACACCGACAAGATCGCTGATCGAAAGCGCAGTCTAAATTCTTACGAAGTCGAAGTGACAATCGCACGGCAATGTAAATAAGTACCGTTGAGGAACGATGACCCGTCCGATGCGGAAGAATCTCTAATTTTGGAGTTTGCAAGTTTAAGTTTTCGCGCGAGTATTTATAAGTCGGCATTTGCGTCAGACGCAAATGCTCGGTACACCGCCGTCGCCGCTGCCAACGACGAGGACGATCGATCGGCGGTTGGTCGGTCGCGGTTCCTTCGATGCCGTCGTCGAATCTCTCCGCGCAATTATTTACACATGCGCGTCTTATTTCGATCGTTATCACCCGGGGTGAGACGCGCTCATGACGTAAAAGAAAAACGTACGATCGCGTTCCGGAAAATGGGACGATTAAATTTTCACAGGATACCTCTCCGGGTATCTTATTCCACAATTTCTACCGCGTATCCCAAAAGAGAACGATACGAGAGAGCTTGCCTCGAACACTAAGAATCTCCTCCCTGTGTGCCTGTCGGTGTAAAAAAAACCATCTATCCCAAAACTGTCGGGTGAAAATTTCACAACGATATGGACATCGCAATATGGGAATATTTGCGCGGGAGAGAGCACGCGCCGGTGTATGTCGAATTGCGAGGGGGCGGGGGACGGCTATAGTACGTTAATTAATTTCAACCGACGGATCGTCGTGTTGGTCGTTTCGGGATAAAGCGGCAGAAAGAGAGGGCTTTCGATGAACGCGAATTTGTCGTCGGCCGCGGCGCGACACGACGCGCCGTATAAGCGTGTACACCCCGCACCATACCGCGGCGCGGCGCAACAACCTGTTCGATGACTTTTCCGTTTGATGATTGCAACAAGTGAGGCCCACCGTCGCGCGCTCGCTCCCGCTCTCAAACCATTTTACCACCGACAGCCACTCCCCCGTTTCGCATTCAACAAGTGGCCAAATCATTCAGCGCGGGGGCCGCAATCCCTCGAAAAATTGGAATTTTCGTGCGCGCCGTCACTTGGCCAGTCATCGATCGATCTATCGAAACGTTATTAAGCCCCGCCGCGGTGGCGGATACACCGCGAGACGCAAAAACCTCCGCTGCGAACCGGCCGAACCGCCGACCAACAATCCGACCGAGCGGACGGGATCATTAGCGCACCGCCGTTTGCGCGACACGATTGCTCACTCGCGTGGCTTGCCCCCTTCAAACCCCCCTCCTGCCCTCGTGCGTGCGCGGCGCACTCGATCTCCCGTCGTTTTCGAAAATTCACGCACGAAACCTCTCTCCCTCGCTGTGTGGGATAGCGTGATGTGACGGCGTTCGAAAGCGGCCCGCTTTTGTGAGAGGCGCGCGAGAAGGCGCGTCTTTTCGAAATTCGATTGACGCCCTTTCACCGCAAACGTAATCATTACTGTCATCGGAAAGCGCCGATCCTTTCCTCCGTAATTTCAGCCGGCGTGGCCAAGTGCCATTGGTGTGCCTGTGTATTTGTATGTGTGTATATGTGTGTGTATGTGTGTGTGTGGGAGTATGGGGCTCTCTCTGAAGCGAGCCTGTGGAGACTCGAACCTCGTGGTATCTGGTGGAATGGGTCTCATTAAGGACGCCTTCACAGCCCTTCATCCTTGGCTCTTGAGGTCCGCGCCTACCTTCCCTCTCTCTCTCCGCCCTGCCTCTCTCGCCCCCGCAAGACGCTCGTTTTTTATACCTGGCTGCCCCCTGCTCGCATTTCTGGCCTCGGTCCTGCGCGTTTGCGTGCGCTTTATGTGGCCGAAGGCCATTCGACGCCTGGTTCCCTGTCATCTTCGACTTTAACCTCGTCGCGGCTTAAAGACGTTTCCAAAGGAGAGATATACGGGCGACCGACGAAACGAGAAACTCTCTCTCTCTCTCTCTCTCTCTCTCTCTCTCTCTCTCTCTCTCTCTCTCTCTCTCTC